ACATAAATGCAATGTTGGGATATGGATAAGGTGGTGTGGCAGGCAAACGCAGACAACTATCCATGCTACTAGAAATAAACCAGCTCTTTACCTCACACCATACATAAATGCAATGTTGGGATATGGATAAGATGGTGTGGCAGGCAAATGCAGACAACTATCCATGCTACTAGAAATAAACCAGCTCTTTACCTCACACCATACCTAAAAATTAAGGAGCCCTGGTAGCATTATCGGGTATGAGCTGGGCTGCTAACTGCAGGGTCAGCAGTTCAAATCTACCATCTGCTCTGTGGGAGAAAGATGAGGCTTTCTGCTCCGGTAAAGATGCACAGCCTCACACTGGGTTGTTCTGAGTCGGAACCAAAGCCACGGTGCACAACCACTACTACCAGCACACATAAAATGAACTCCAGCTGCAGTAAGAATGTCAATGCCAAAAGCAAAATGTCCTAACATTTCAGTGAAAAGACAAGGAATGACTTTCTGATCTTGGGAAAAGGAAAGCTGTTTAGAGGCAGAGATGCGGTTAATCGCCTTTAAGTCCATGCAGACTCCTGGCGCCCACGTGTGCAGAGGAGGGCTGCTCCACTGGGTTTTCAAGGCAGTGACCTTTCAGAAGCCAACTGAATGCCAGGCCCATCTTCTAAGGCACCTCTAGGTGGGCTTGAACCACCAACCTTTCAACTAGGAGTTGAGCGCTTAACTGTTTGTACCACCATTTGTTACAAAATGAAAGACCAACAACTTCTGAATATCCTAAGACATCTTTAAGAGTAAAAAAAGCAACGAACTGGGAGATTTGGCATCCTATGTCAGATAAAAATAACAACAAAGATAGGGAGTTCTACTGCGTCCTATAAGGTGCCCTGGTGTCACCATGGGTCAGGTATTGGGTTGTTATCCACAAGGTCGGTAGTTCAAACATTTTCCTTGGGAAAAAGTGGAAGCTGCTCCCCTAAAGATTTAGCCTCAGAAGTCCAGCATGGACTCGATGGCACTGGGCTTTGCTGTCACTAGGAGTCAGAATCAACTTGATTGTACTGGGTTGGGATTGGTTTATGCACATGAAGGGTGATTCAACCTGTATGCAATCTGGAAAATGCAGATCAGCACACACACAGCAAAACCTTCAAAGTCTCAGAAGAAGAAAGGAGAACAAAGATTGGGACACCTCCATCCATGTTGCTAACTGGTGCAATCACTTTAGAAAAACAATTCGCCACCATGTGGTAAACCCTGACCATCTAAGATCTGACAATTCCATACCTGCGGTGAAGGGGCCATGGTGGTTCTGTGAGTTAGGCCTTTGGGATGCTATCTGCCAGGTCACGAGAAAAATGAGACATTCTGCTCCTGCAAAGATTTTCAGTCTCAAAAACGTGTGGTTAAGTGCTGTCAAGTTGGTTCTGACTCATTGCGACCCTGTATAAGGTTTCCAAGGAGCAGCTGGTGACCTTGAACTGCCAACCCTGGGGTTCAAACTGACCTTGGAGGTCCAGTGCATGAACTTGCAGTGACATACCAGGACTCACTTACTCTCTTTTTATATATATGTACAATTTTAAAAAAGAAAATGAATGAGCCACAACCACAAACAACTTCATACATATATTTTCCTTTAGTAAGTCCTGGTAGGCACACTGTACAAGCCTCTTTCTGTTATGTTTAAAACAAACACAGTTTTTAAACATACTGTTTTGTCATGTTGTTGCTGCTGTAAAGTGTTGCTGAGTTGGTTCCAGCTCATAGAAACCCTTATAGAGTTTCTGAGAAGCAGTTAGTGGGTTTGAACCACCAACCTGGAGCTTACCAGTCCAGTGCTGACTCCACAGTGCCACACCAGGAGTCCTGTTTAGTCATAGACACTTGGAAATACGATTAAGCAGCAATGACAAGACACATTTCAGAAGAATGATTACCTAGGGCGGAGGCAGGAGCGGGAGTGGACACATAGGTGGATTTAAGGTTGGGAATATTTTCATTCATTGTGGAGGAAGAAGAGGGGAACCTCTTTTTTTTTTTTATTACAGGTGGGTAGTCTGTTTTATAGACAATAAAAGAACAATGTTGTTGCTGTCAAGTGCCACTGAGTCAATCCTGACCATAGCGACCCTGTATAGGGGCTTTGAGGAGTGGTTAGTGGGTCTGAACCACCAACCTTGAAACTAGCAGTCCTGCACGGATCCTACAGCACCACACCAGGAGTCCAAAAGAACAATAGCATACACTAATTGTACAAGAGATTTTGGAGTTTTGAGTACTTTTGACTTTCTTCTTTTTACTTTTCAGTATCCTAGAAATGTCACGTCGTCACTTGACTATGCTCTATAATCACCAGTTATCATGACAAGCTTCGGCAGAACCTTACTTCCTTACCCTGAGTTTCTGAGAAAGCCTATCTTTGGGGCATTCATGACAATGTAACTGGTGTTATCGCAAACATCATGACATCTGTCCCTGAGTTCTTTGCTCCCAGGTCTCTGCAGAAAACAGAAGCAATTTTTTTCCACACATGGTGAGAAAACACTTAAATCAACATTTTTGGAAATCAAAGAGAATTCCTTAAAAAAACATTTAAAACAAAACAAATTTTTAAAACCAGAGCTACTGGACTGGTGACAACTCAAGGACCCTCACAAGACTACTGCTCAGAAATACTCTTCAACCTTAAACCAAAACTAGCCCAAGGCCACCTTGTAGCTAAATAACAAACAGGCTCAAAAATACTGAAATGGAGTCCTGGTGTGGCACTGAGGGTTCATGCACTGGACTGCACGGTCAGCGGTTCAAGCTCATCAGCTGCTCCTCGGAACCCTACACAGGGTCATGTGGCTTGGAAGCAATGGGACAACACTCAGCCACAGCAGCAGCCGGTCAGTCCTATGTTCCTTTACAAACCCCTCCATGAGACCAAAGCACAGACGAAAACTTAAGAGGGCAGGGAAACGAGGTGAGTGGAGATGGAACCACAGAAGGGAAACAATGAGAACAAAGCTCCTGAGTGTCATCAATTCGTATAAACTGGTAAACTGGATGCTCCAACTGCTGTGCAGACCTTCGCTACAAACACATTCCAAGTTTATTAAATAAAAAAATAAAGCTCCAGTCATCAAAACTGGTGCTGGGAAAACCACGAAAGAGAAACCACCTGTGAGTACAAACCTTTAGCGCCATCCAGTGACCTGGTAGCCAGAAGCCGATTTGCTTCCTGATACTTTGTGAACAGTCGGTGGAACAGAGACTCTCCGGTGGAGCACAGTCCAGTCAGCGCATGTTCTAACCCTTCCAGGTGCACCAGTGTCGACAGGATACAGTCAAGCCAACAAAGCGCATGAGCATTTCTCCACTGGACACAGGGTGCTCTGTGGGCCTCCGGTGGCATTTCCAGTTTAGAGGTGCCACCCTCATGCTGAGGGGACGTCCCCCTGGTTCTGGAGACATGGACAACAGGAGGATCGTCCTCCACAGCAAAGTTAACAACGTCAGCTTCCACAGCCTCCTTGTGCTCTGAGGGAGCGGATGAAGGCACAGGATTCTGCCCACTGCTTTGGGGTAAGTCAGGTAAGTTTGATGAGGCTTCTCCATGGTGCTTGCTAGTCAGAGTCTGCTCGCCATCAACAACACCATGAGTTCTAGTCTTCTTGGGATTTGCAAAAAGGGAAGAGTCTTCACAGCTGGTCGCGAAGACTTTCCTTTTGTGAGGCTTATTTGGAGTGTGGCAATCATCCAAATCAGGAGAAATTACATTAGTAAGTGATTTAGAGCCCAAAGGGTAGATGCACTGGAGAAAAACAAAAATGATAAAAACGACACAAATTCAAACAGTTCAAGGTTCACTTTATACTATGTTGTGAAAGATATGATTTCAACATGAGGTGTAATATTCAAACACCAAAACCAAACCCACTGCCTTCAACTCAATTCCAATTCACAGCGACGCTGCATACAGGTTCCAAGTCTGTAGCTCTTTATGGGAGCAGGCAGCTTCTCCCGTGGAGTAGCTGGTGGGCTTGAACTGCCAACCTCACAATTAGCAGAAACCTACTTCCTCTATCTTGAAACTGACTATGACTGGGAGAGAACTGCTATGTCTCTTTATTTTCATCGGGGCAGTGTTTCGTTCTCTGCACATAAGGTCGCTATGAGTCAGTACCGACTCCATGGCACCCAACAACTAGAGTAAAATTGAATGAATTTTAATGACCTCATCAGATCGCATGGTGCATAAATATAATTACAACCATCAATCAAAACTACAAACAAACCACTCAAATAATCAGAGAATTTCTGCTATTTGAAAAGTCTTAAAATATTTTAAAAGGCAAATTCAAGAAATCAATTTACAATTGACCTCCTTCCACATAACTAAGGGTTGTTGTTGTTATTAAGTGCCGTCAAGTCGATTCCGAACCATAGTGACCCTGTATAGGGTTTCCGAGGAGTGGCTGGTGAGTTTGAACCACCGACCCTGCAGTTCAAACGGCTTTGTAGCCTGGTGCATTAACCCACAGGGCCACACCAGGACTCCTAAGTAAGGGGAGGAGGGGTGTGGAATTCCAATCTCGTTCAATTCCATTTCCCATGGACTTTTTGAAGCCTGTTGCATGGCCTCCAACCCAAGACAGTACTCCTGGAGTGGTCCACATCCCCGTCCCCTACTGCACAGACTCCGGGCTTGGCGTCCCACAGCTCTGGCAAAGGGGACATTAGCCAAGGTGCCATACCTGCGGGCAGGCTCAGTGTCTGCACGCTGGCATTTGTCCACTCCAAAGACTCTCTCTGGACCTCCCTTCTCAGTCCCAGCCACCAAACTGGGAGGAGCCCAGCAGCCTCCTGAAGAGACCCTCACGGGAAAGAACCAAGACCTGTGGCTAACTGCCGACGCTGAACTCCAAACACCAATTACCAATCACGAGGACATATCAGTTGTCCCAGAGCACAGCACACCAGGTCTAGGAGCTGCGTGGTCAAATCGAGGAATCACAAGAAACAACAAAGTGAGCCACCAAGAATTCTGACCCGCCCAGTTCTGAGGTGGTTTGCTCCAATTCAACAGACACCTGACATGGACGAAACCCCTCACTTGCAATCACACACACATAGCACGTCCAGGACTCCCAGCGGGCCCCTTTCTCCTCAGTCTTCTGGTTTTCCTTCTCTCCTGGTTACACTACTTGGTGGCACAACAGGAAGGCTGAGGGTTTAGACCCACCCAGTGGCTCTATGGTTCCACAGAGATGACAGCCTAGAAGGTCATACATGGCAGTTCTCCTCTGTCCCATGGGCTCACAATGAATCAAAAATTACCACCACCGCTACACGCAACCGGCGTTTCAACCACCTGCAAGCACCACCACAGATATTACACGTCTCAATTCTGCTGCCTCCATTTCTATCGGATCCATTCCAACCAGGTCACTGCTATAAGGTCTCCAATGGCCTCCAGTTGAGTCCTCACCTTCCCGGACTGCTTGGACAACGAACTCTTTCTTCTGGTTTTGTTTCTAGCTCATTACTCTTTTGTACTTGACCCCAGCTCCTAATGCTACAGTGTCCGTGGCTTAGTCCTGGGGTCTCTTTTACCCATTTGTCATAAGGAATGGCAGGTTGGTTTGAACTGCCGACCTTGTGGTTAGCAGTCTAGTGCCTACCCTATAGCGCCACACCAGGACTCCTCTTTATCCAGACTCTTGGGTAATGTCACCCAGTCTCATGGGTTATCTAATACTATCTCCAACCTCCAGTCGGACCTAATGGCAGAAACAGCTCTTGAGCTTGCCTTCAAACCTTCTTCTTCTCACTTCTTTCCAACCTCTGTAACCGCCAACTGAATTCTTTCAACTGCTCAGGCCCCAGACACTGGGATCATCCATAATTCTTCTCTCCCACTCTGCTACCCCGTATCTTCATCTTTCAGCAGATCGTGCTGGCTCCATTTTCAAAATGAAGGTCAAGTCCAACCACATCTCATTACCTCTGCCACCGTCTTCTCCCCCGACTGAGATACTGTACCTCGCCCACCTTCCTGCTTCAGTCTTACCCATGCATGACATGTACTTTCAACACAGCAGCCAGAGAGTCTCACAACGCGCATACCAGACTCCACCATATCTCTGCTATGGCTCAGTTCTCCCAGCACATAAGACACCTTTCAGTGACCTACGAGACTCTAACACTTAGCCCAGCCCCCTACTTTTGTTTCTGCATGTCTTCTATCACTCTGCTCTCACGTATTCTAGGTCAGCTGGGCTGGCTTCTCTGCAGCAGCACAAACATGAAAAGCAGCTCTGACTCTCTTTGGGGGCCTTATGCTTGCTCCAAATCATTTCTTTCCGGCAGAGGCGTTCCCTGCCATTCTATCTCAAACCGCAAACCTTGCTTCCTACGGCACTCTTTTTCTCCACTGTATTTACCAAGGGACATACAAAAGGTGTATTTTACTTGTTTGCAGCCTTGTGCTCCCACTCTAAGAGCTAGAACATCTTATGTTTTGCTGAATATTGTGCCGTAACATCTGGAACAGTGCCTAACACAGTGATGCTCAAACCAGCCTACAGAACACACACAGAAATGTGTCTCTATGTGTCAGAAAGCCTGGGATGGGTTTTCTTCAAGTCCTACGTTATCACCCGCAGTGTGGTTTAATCAAGTATTCTCCGGACTTGGCCAATCATCTGACTCACCATCAAAGCTTGTAAAACTACAGATCTGGGCCAGCTCTACTGATTTAGAATCTACTGCTCAACTCAGACGGCTTTCAAAGGTGGTTCGGAGGAGTTGCTAATTTAGATGGACTAAAACAGATCTAAAATGAGAAGAGAGCCTTGAGTTAATTGTTGGGCTGTTAAGTGAAAGGTGGGTAGTCTAAAGACATCAGCCACTCCATGGGAGACACAGAAGACTGTCTGTTTCCATAGAGATTACAGCCGTGGAAAGCCTACGGGCAGTTCTACTCTGTACTGGAGGGTTACTAAGAGTCAAAATCGGCTTGATGGCAAAGGGTTTTCACATAGAAAACTGCATTCCAACCCCAGCTCTGCTGCGCCACAAGCCCTATGGTTCCTAAACCCGCCACGTTTGCTTCCCCATTCACGTAATGGGAATACATACCATGCAGTTTTGAGAATTAAACACATATAAAACAGTTCCACAAATTGTTCAATACATTAAAATGTAGACCCTCATAAAATGTAATGAGTTCCCATATAAAAGCTGTACTCAAGGGTACAAATTACTATAATTAACTATAAAAGATACATTGTTATTGTTGCTAAATGATGTTGTTGAGTCCACTCAGACTCAGAGTGACTCTCTACAGGTTTTCCCATGAGCAGTTAGTGGGTTTGAACTGCCGACCTTGTAGTTCACAGTCCAATGTGGATCCAACAGCACCACACCGGAATATATACAGGGTCATTTATAGCCATAAATAAAATAAAATAAACCGAGCCTTAAATACGTAACACTTAACTCAGAGCATATTCAGTGACACCTCACCCGCCCCTATTACTCCAGGTACATTAAGAGATTAATAAGTCTCAAAGTCAGTAAACCTAATACCCTCTATATGCTAACAGGAAGCAAAAACCTCCAAAAGGTTTCAAGAAAAAAAAAAAAATAGATGTACATGAGGGGGCTTCAGAAAGTTCATGGGAAAATTCCCTTAGTTTTCAATTCCATTTTCCCACCATTTTTTTTGAAGCCCTAGCATCTTTCCCCTTACTTGAGTCAAATCTAATGATAATCATCCTTCTTTTCTTTTGTCACAACGCAGGAAACCAGGTGGAAAATACAACAGAAACCACTTACAATTATTTATCAGACAGATTTAGAATCTCAGATCATCTATCTAGCTTTAAAAAGCTACATTCTAAAATATAAAAAAGTACAAATTTACACACTGAAGAAAAAAACTAAAGGCTAACCCCCACAAATCACATAAGATGAATACTTTACCTGTAGGTCCTCACACAGAAAGATAGATTCTTGAAAACTAATGCGGTATGACTTTAATGCTTTCAGCTTTCCCTTCTCTCTACAAACTGGGCAGTACCCATTTTCTGGACCTTCCGCCAAATCATAATTCTAAAAGAAAAACAAAGCCAATGAAAACACAGGCATTCCCATTACACCAAATTACCAACAAGTTCAACAGAAAGATAACCAGAAAAAAATCAACAATTCTTAACCAGAATTGCCCTGGCACGATATTTTAAACGTGGCAAATAAAAGAAATGCACACAGAAGGGTTTCCGTACAGCGAGCACTCGAGAGAAGCTGTCCGCTGTAAGCATTGCACTGTAAGTGTTGAGAACAGCATTCGTTTTATTTGCAAAGGAAAAAGGTAACATCAACTGCCAGGAAAAACACAGGTTCCATGTTTTTTACAAAGATTAGTGAACCGTACAGTCTATGTTTCACTTTACTTTCACATATAAATAAAACAGAGAGGTAAACACATTTAAACAATCTTTCGCCATTGCTGTAAGATTTCCGTGGAAGACACACATTTTTCAAGAATTAACTAGGAAAATTAAAACCAAATCTAAGTCTCAAAAATAGGAGAAAAAGAAAAACTTTGCACCGAGACTAAAAATGAGTTCACTAACTTTTCCCAAATACCCCACCATGTGGAGTGAAGAGACCCCTATACCAGTCCCTTGTCCAATCACTGGCAAACCATTTCCAATCTTCGGGGAATCCATCATTCCGAGTCATTGGCTAATTTAGGTCACTTGAAACATGTCAATATCACTAAGGATTTTTCAATGAACCCTGGAAAAAAAAAGTCAATAAGCAATTAAATAAAAATCCTATTTACTTTGAAAATGAGCTAGACTATTTTATAAGATTCAAGAGCTATATTAAGCATATTTGAGAGATACATGTCCTAGAGCTAACATATTCTGAAATTGTGATCTTAAGCAAAAACAATAGCTAAACTTCTGTATAAGCCTGAGCAATTCTGTGGGGACAGGGCAGACACAGGCAGTAGGACCAACTCATAGCAGTAAGAAATTAAACATAATGTGTAGCTATAATTTAAAGTGCAAAGGGTCACTATGAGTCAGTACCGACTTGATGGCACCTAACAACGATATTGATCAGAGGGGGTCCTGGTGAAGCACTGTAGGATAAGCAGTGGACTGCTAACCACAAGGTCAGCAGTTCAAACCCACCAGTCACTCCTTGGAAACCCTATCCAGGGTCACTGTGAGTTGGAACCGACTTAACAGCACTTAACAACATACTGATCAGGACGGTTACATGTTGGGCTCCTCATCACAAGTCCACCAGCTGTTCTGCAGGAGAAAGATGAAGCTATCTGCTCCTGTAAAGACTTACAGACTCAGAAACCCTGTACAGGGTCGCTACGAGGTAGAACCAACTCCGTAACATGCAGCAGAAGCAGCTGGTGACCAATAGGAGTCCTGGTGATGCAGTGGTTTAAGCGCCGATCTGCTAACAGAACATTAGAACCCACCAGCCATTCCTCGAGAGAAAAAAGGCTTCCATAAAGATCTACAGCCTCAGAAATCCTATGGACAGTTCTACTCCATCCTGTTAGGGTCACTCTGAGTCTGAATGTGCTGCAACACCTCACAGAACTCGGGAACCATCAAGGAAATGGCTCCTGTGGCTTAGAAGGTGATGAGCCCCAAATGTGCAGTCCAGACCTGGATGGTCTCCTAACTCGCGCCAAATACACTGTTGATCACCACGGCTACAGAAGCTGGAGGGCCAGGGCACCTGTCCTAATCTCAAGAATCCTAGAACTGGACATCAGACTGAGGCACTTGGTTAGTCAAGCAAAGGAGCCTAGTGCCCTTTCAGGTCAGCAAGGGGCTCACTGTATGCCCAGCGAGTGGCAAAGGAGTCCTGGCATGGCACTGTAGGATCAGCACTAGACTGCTACCCACAATGTCAGCAGTTCAAATCCACCAGCCGCTCCCTGGAAATCCTATACAGGGTATCTATGAGTCGGAACCAACTTGACAACACTTAACAGGATGGCAAAATTGACTAAGCCCTAGTTAGAGTGACACGTTTTCACAATCACTCTCAACTGAACCATATAAGCCTATCAGCATCTCCTCCACCTTCCCTATCAGGAAAAAGTCGTTTGGTGGGAGTTACAAAGACGAGCGCCAGAAGAAACAGAGCCAATAATTCACGGACCACAAAATCCCTACTCTGTTCTCTAGGGTCACTGAGTCAGAATCATAACCAACAGGCAGACTGACCAGAGTTTGAAAATTAACATTTTTAAAGTCAGCGGTTCAAACCCACCAGCTGCTCCTTGGAAATCCAAGACAGGGTTCTCCATAAATTGCAACAGACTCAATGGCACTTAACAACAAACAATGTGTACAATTTGAAACAAATATGCTGACATACTTTAAAAGCCCTAGATCAGTTGCTTCCTTACTTGAAAGCAACAAAAGAAACAATGCAAACATCCCATAAATCCTACTATTTTCAACCACCAAAAGTATTGTACCAGTTGAAAATAAGGCTACTTTTTAAAGCTGTCAGCAAACTGCTATTTTGTATGAAATGATCTGCACTAAAACAGATAACTACTGTCGTCACACAAATTACACATGGTACCAGTTGGTTGAGTGCAGAGTCTATGGACTAGAACCCACTCAGTAAAGTCAAAACCACGAAACTGGAGTTCCATGCTGGAGTTCCATGCATGTGTTAAACAGACAGAAACCAGAGATAGGAAATCTTTATGCAGAGATGAATTACTTAGCAGGGATGTTATAAAAACAATCTCAAGATGACAACGATCTCCTGGAACCAGATTCACAGATTCACTATAAAAACGAGCTACGTTATTATTCTGTTTGAGCTGCAGGATCACACAGCTTTCAAGGCAAATCAAACCGAATCCACTGCCACCAAGTGACTACAACTCGTAGTGACCCTGCAGGACAGGCTAGAAGTGTACCGTAGGGTTTCTTAGCAGCTGTCTTTAAGAAAGCAGATGACGGCAGCTCTCTCTGCAGCATGACTGTCAAATGTAAAGTGCAGCTGAGAACTTAAACAGTGCCACCAGGGCTCCTTCAAAACAAAGAACGATTTTCTTTTAAAAATAAATATGATTTTTAAAAAGTTTTGCTGTTGTTAAGTGCTGTTGAGTTGGCTCTGATCATAGTGACCCTTTAGTTTCCAAGGCTGCAAATTTTTTCAGAAGTTTCCTTTCTCCCAAGGAGAAGCTGGTGGGCTTGACCCGCCTACTTTGTGGTTCACAGTCCAGTGCTTATCCTACAGAGTCACAGCGTCATTCCCCAAGTTGTTACTGATGGTAGTGGTGACTGTGTGACATCAAGCTGGTTCCGATTCATAGCAACTCTGCATAGGGTTTCTGAGGGTGTAACTCTTTCTCCTGTGGAGCATAGTAGATTCGATCTGCTGACTTTTCAGGTAGTGGCCCACCCATTACGCTACCGTGGACCTCAATTCCCACTCCTGAGAAAATACACACAGATGCGGTTTCTCAGCCACAGCACTACGGACAATTTGAAGCTGAACATGTATCGCCAAGGCTGCTCTGTGCACTGTAGGGTGTTTGATAGCAACACCAGCTTATACCCTTTAGATGTCAGCAGCATCACCCACTCCACACAGTAACAAACAAAATTATCTTTCGTTGTTGTTATTAAGGGCTGTCGAGTTGGTTCCGATTCACAGTGACCCTAGTGGGTTCGAGCCACCAACCTTGCAGTTAGTAGTGCTTATCCTTCTTGTTGTTAAGTGCCACTGAATCGACTCCAACTCATAGCAACCCTGTATAGAGTTTCTGAGAAGCAGCTGGGGAGTTTGAACCCTGACCCTGTGCTTCAAACCCACCTTGCAGTAGTCAAGTGTTTACCCTACAGCACTACACCAGGACTCCAGTGCTTATCCTACAGCACCACAAAAGTATCTCTAGACATTGCCAAAGGTCCCCTGGAGAAGCAAAATCATCCTAAAGAGAACCACTGCAACTGTAGTCGACACAAGTTGGACGCTAGCTTTTCCTTTTTAAGCTCCTCATCGACAACATCAACTTGTTTATTACCTTCAGCTGGTTCTATTTATAATGTAAGAACCAATCCCTGGAGAAGGGCATCATGCTTGATAAAGCAGAGGGTCAGCGAAAAAGAAGAAGACCCCAACGAGATGGACTGACACAGTGGCAGCAGCAATGGGCTCAAACGTGACAACTGTGAGGATGACGCAGGCCCAGGCAGTGTTTCGTTCTGTTGTGCATGGGGTCACTATGAGTCGGAATTGACTCGACAGCACCTAACAACAACAACAATAACAACAACAACAACAACATTTATCATTTACTTACAAAGGCAACCACGTAATAAGAGTCAAACTTCCGGGGTTCCAAAGGAGCTACAAGCATCAGTTTTGCACCTGTTGTTCTGGGTTCAGAAATTTCTTAGCTGTAAAACTGGTTTGTTCTAAGAATTAAATGAAGCAATGCATGTAAAATTGATTAACACAGCATTTGACACATAGTAAATCACAGCAATGGTTTATTTGATGCTAATTTCACACTTCCCTCTATGTAAGAAATATACAAGGCACCTCGGGTCACACATTCTGCAGCATTCTCAATCAAAAACCTGGCAAGTGATGGATAGCGACTGAATGCTTTTGGATGAAAATTTCCATCTGCCTGACGAATCTTGAAAACTTTTTTAAGATAGTTCTTCCTCCCTCAGTTATAAAAGTAAGTGAACACATGGAAAGGAAATGTTGAATATCCCAAGGTAAGCCCTGAACGTTTTCCTGATCCCACTGACCTACATTCAATGGGAAGGGTGACAGTTGAAATCCTGAAACCTGAGAGAGTATGCAGAACCCCCCTCAAAAAAACAAAAACCAGGTGGACTTTTCTGATCTTCTTCCAAATAACTGTTCTACTAGCCACAATTTTGCAGGAATTCTTCCAATTTAACTGGCCCCTTTGAAAAATGCCCTCGTTGCTGCTCTCTTCAAAAATAACCTGCTTCCCTCGGGATCTCGCCTTATTTTTGACATCTCTGCTCTCCCAAACTTACAGATTTGAAAATCTCAGTCTTTCACTTCCTTAACTTTACGAAAACAGTCATCAGATGGTATGGATAACACCTCGGGAAGGTCCCAGATCCTACCTCTGTCCACCCCATCCCCACTCTCAATCCCGGTCAACGTGAGGCTCCTACCAAACAAGGCACAGCGCGGCTTCAAGTCATGATTACGCCAGACTGAAGATGGAACCGTCCTAACACATCAGCTGGGTCTCCACTTCATCCCTTTTTCTAAGGCCTCCTATTCGGCCGGGTGCGTGGAGGAGACCAGGGTCAAAAAGTTCCACTGGGTTTTCCTTCCACTTGCTTTTTGACGCCCCCCTCGAACTTCTGAGTCACGGGTCCTCCAGGTGCCCTAAGAGGAGCGACGAGCCCAGTAGGGACCCCGGTACTGTGCCACGAATGGGTCCTCTGGGCCCAGGCAACTGCGCGACGCCGCGATAGAACCCACTCCCAGTCCCGCGTGCAAAATGAGGGCACGACCCAGAGAAAGCGCGGTTCCGAAGGGCCCCAGGCTCCAAGAGGCCAGTTTCGAATCCCAAACCCAGTCGGATTCCGTTAACCCTCCTCAGGGCCACGCTCTGGGGAGAGGGGAAGCAACTCTGGTTTCTCTTCAGCGTTTACCTCTCTGA